ATATAAAGAAACTGTGAGTTAGTAAAATATGCTATACAAAGAAACAGTGGATATTAAAGGATATTATACAAAGAAACAGTGGATATTAAAGGATATTATACAAAGAAACAGTGGGTTATTAGAATTTGTTGTCCGTCATTTACATACCCACAATATACCTATCAGAAAATGTCAAACTCTCTGTCTACTAAAATAAGTAATGACTTCGATGCTAACTAATGGATATCAATTTTTAGATGTAAAAAAGGCAAACATATCACCTTAGTTATGAAAGGTAGTATGAAAAATTAAATTTACTGTGATACAATGAATAGTACTTTCAATGTTTTCTAATCAGAGCTGGTCAAGAACAATCTCTTGGCTTCATAAATTGTATATTTTTTTCTTTCACGAAGTTTAAACATGGCCAGGTGGTTAGGGCACTTGACTCACAATCTGAGGGTCGCGGGTTCGAATCCCCGTCACACCAAACATGCTCGCCCTTTCAGCCGCGGGAGCGTTATAATGTGACGGTCAATCCCATTATTCGTTGGTAAAATAGTAGCCCAAGAGTTGGCGGTGGGTGGTGATGACTGGCTGCTTTCCCTCTAGTCTCACACTGCTAAATTAGGGACGGCTAGCGTGTAGCTTTGCGCGAAATTCAAAACAAACAAGGCTAGACACAATCTGCTAAAATGAACTTAAATTGAGTCAAAACGTTTTTCACTTCATTGTTTTTTCCATAGATACATCAATAATGTATGCATTTTTTCTTGTTTCACCATAGTAGCTCTCGTTCTATATAATTTTCTTAGTATCATTAAAAACAGGTTTTAAGTATTTTTGTTAGCATTAACGAAGCTTTGAATTCAGTGCCAGACGAACTCGGAGTTAACCCTAACGAATAACTTGTCGGCTTTGACAAAGAAAATATGGGTGATAATCAGAGCACAAAGAATGAAATTAGTCCCGTTTCTCATATCTTTTAAAAACTAAAAGTGCATGTAATAAAAAACAAACAAACAATAAACTGAGTGGAAATGACGGAATCCCTTGTTCATCCACTTATTATATCTGAGATATAGGCCTTACTACTGAAGTGGTGAATAATGATTTTAATCTAACGTGCTCTATCTGAAACCAGAAACCGTTTAAGGTATTATATTTTAGCAAGAACTAGTGATGTTCTCGAAAAAGTGTTGTATGACAACTATCATTAATCTATTTTAATTTGCAAAAAATAAATTGTATTTTCTTCGAGATGTGTAGAGTAAATTTTATTTGTCACTGTACAGCATCACACAATTTACGTATCACTCAAAGCACAATTATATGTACATCTAATACAATTTACGTATCCCTCAAAGCACAATCATATGTACATCTAATACAATTTACGTATCACTCAAAGCACAATTATATGTACATCTAATACAATTTACGTATCACTCAAAGCACAATTATATGTACATCTAATACAATTTACGTATCACTCAAAGCACAATTATATGTACATCTAATACAATTTACGTATCACTCAAAGCACAATTATATGTACATCTAATACAATTTACGTATCACTCAAAGCACAATTATATGTACATCTATGTGAGAGCTTGTCACAAAAAAGATTTGCCTTTAATGTGCCTTTACTTATTAAGTATGTCGCTAATGGAATGGACATAAAATATAGTTTATAAAAGACGGTAACCTTGTGTGATAATTAATTAAATCTGTAAGCAAGCAAGAAATCCGTATATCTTAATGGATATCTTTACATCAAAAGGTTTGTTTGTTTGAAGTTAAGCACAAAGCTACACAATGGGCTATCTGTGCTCTGCCCACCACGGGTGTCGAAAACCGATTTCTAGTGTTGTAAGTCCGCAGACATACTGGGGGGCACAACAAAAGTAGAGAGTAGCTTAGACATCGCGCACTTTAGGCAGAAGTCACATGACTTCATCAACACCATTTCTATCTCACTCAGTGACGTAATGCTGATTATGACTTTACATACTTACACTAAGTATTGGATGTTTGCGTCTTGCTTGACATGGGATTTCAGGACTTTATGTCATTATTTCAACACCTAATAGAATAACGACTAAATACTTTAAAAATCTCATTGCAGCGTTTTATATAGAATAGTATAGATAGATAGATAGGTTTTCAGGGTACCACCACCATAAACCTAGTCAAGGATAACTTACAGAGCAAAATATTAAACGCTTTAAAATACCAGAACTCACAACTAAGATAAGATTGAACATATGAATGTTAAATCAGGCTGTGAACTATCACAAAACAATCTTTGAACCAAATAGGTATATAGATTTGTTTTTTGTTCTCTTCTGCCTTGGTGTTTGGAACATTATTAATTTCTATCTGAAATGCATGAGTTGCAATAAATATAATTATAGCAATGCTGACCTCAAATGCATAAGTATAGACAAATATAATTATACCATTGCTGATTTGAAATGCATGTGGGGAGACAAATATAATTATAGCATTGCTAACCTGAAATGCACGAGTAGATAAAAATAAATTAATAGCATTGCTGACCTGAAATGTATGAGGGGAAACAAATATAATTATAACATTGCTAATTTGAAATGCATAGGTAGAGACAAATATAATTATAGCATTGTTGACCTGAAATACATGAGTAGAGAAAATATAATTATAGCATGACCTGAAATGCATAAATAGAGACAAATATAATTATAGCATTGCTGACCTGAAATGCAGAATGAAAATATGTTCGATACTAACAAAAAAGAAGTTTATTTAATCATATTA